TGCAATATATTTGGATTTAAATTATGTGCTGAGCAGGAAAAAAACCCAAACCTCTACTTTTGCGCTATTATCCCACTCTGCCCAAGCTACAACTTTTTACTATTCCCACACTTTAAAGAGAACCAACCTTCTGGTGAGCAGCTTCTGTGAGGCTCCTTGCTCTCCGGGGGCACCTGCAGAGATGTTCTCAGGAAGATGAAACTAAACTTTGTAACTCTTGGAGGCGCTTATTGGCAGCCAGCATTGAGCAAGTAGAAAGGTGGGAGGTAACTGGTGGGGGAGGTCGGGAGCTGTGCCCTGTGGGTAGGGCTACATGCTTAGCAGAGGCACAGAGCATGACATCCTTTTTTTCCCTTTCCCCAGAATTACATGATAGAATTTTATTAATCTTATAAGAAAACAGTTGCATATCTATTGTCTTGTTCTCTTACCTCTGTGTACATGTGGTGGTTGTCTGGGCGAGAACAGCTCTGAATTATGTGCAGTTGTAGGGATGCATTTTCCCACATTTTTCTCCATAGAAATAGCGCACTTTCTGGATCCCAGACCAGACTAAATGAAGCACCTCCGGGTGCTTCACTCTGAGCGTTCTCTTTCCTCAAGGAAAAGGCTTCAGACAAAGACGTTGTGCAGATCCGACTGCTTTCACAGCCAGGCTTGTGGAGGCAAACAGGGGCTGTGGCAGAGGCTGCTGCGTGGCTGAAACATCCCTGTGGCTCGGGCTCTGGGTGGCTGAAACATCCCTGTGGCTCCGGCTCTGGGTGGCTGAAACATCCCTGTGGCTCCGGCTCTGGGTGGCTGAAACATCCCTGTGGCACCCAGGACGGCCCCTGCCCCATCCCACGGGCGCCAGGAGCAGAGCAGTCAAAGCCAGCAGCAGCTAAACCCATCTGCATCAGGGGATGGCTCCCTGCCGTCAGCACTGTCCTCTGCTTTCATTCAGGCCCAGGTAAGGAAGCAGCAGGACACGATGGTAACTTTGCTATTAAATGTCTCCTGTACCTCAGCAAGTGTGCTCCCTGCTTATTCGTAGGGATGCATTTGGGTTTTCATTTCTGAATTCCATAATACACACCACATGGAGGCTTTCTATAAACATTAGGCTGATTCCCGAAGTGCTTGTCACAAGCCATGTAGCCCAGCTATTGTCCTTGCCACACACATCCATTTCGCTCTATGAGATACTCATATTAACTATTTATTCACTAACATGCCCCAAATATTTAATTGCTCACACCCTGTGCAAGTCACTGACAGTTCAAAATTCACTTCCTACATTCTGTGGAGAAGTGAAACCAGGAGAGAGAATGTTTTTTCAAATTGAAACAGAGCATGCAGAGAGCACAGGGCGGGCCTGGGTGGCTGCTTGCCCGGAGCCAAGCAAATTCAAAGCATCCCAGAAGTGTTGATGGCATGTTCCCCTTTTGTCTCGCAATTGACAAGAACTGGGGAGGGGGGAGTTGCGGTTAAACTGCAATTTACGGGCTTTGTGAAACAGGCTGGTATTTCTGGTGCCTTAAATGGAGCCTTTTACCATCAGTGCTGCTCAGGTAACAACAGGGAGCTGTGTCCTGAAACGCTCCCCTTGGCTTGCAGCAGCTCCAAAGTTTTAACTGTGGCTGTCCCTGCTTTAGGATGTGATGTCACGATCCGATAGTCGGATACGTGGAGATTCTTTGCAATCCCGTCAGGACAAAACAAGGATAATACAATATCGGGTGCACAAATAGGTTTTTATTTAGGTACAGATCATCTGGTAAGAGTTTTAATTATATATTTGTTATAAGCTTGTAATAGATGGCGATAACTAACCCTAAACTACAAAAGAGAAAGGTCAGGAGAGGAAATAAAGAGTTAAAGGAAAGTCACCACCCAGAGCTCCGTGGTGTCCCCTTGGTCTCACAGAAGAAGGGAGGTGGTTCGATCTCGATCTCAGCAGGCGTCTGGAGACTGGTGCTCTTCTCCTTTATATAGTTCATTCCTGGGATGAACTACAGCGGTTACCCAATCACTGTTCCACGTTTGCAGTGAAAATTCATCACCTCCTGCATTTCTTTGGTCCAGTTATTTGTAAGTCTCTTCTGCCAGGTCGGTGATTTACATGACAACACTCCCTGAGCCTCTTGATTAATTCGAAGTCTGGTTATCGCCGGCTGTCCTTGCTCCGTGCTAGCTGTGGCACCAGTTGTGTGCCTCTTCTGTCTACAATCACAGCACATCCCACAGCAAACTGTCCGGGTTCGCCTTCTGCATTTGACACCATCTCAGGCGGTCTTGCATTATCAGTCGAGTAAAACCGGTTCGGTGGATTGGCGAGACGTTTCTTTGTTAAACATTGCTTATTATGTCTTGGATGCATCGAGACAAACACCAGGCACCATAAGTAACTGAATACACTATTTATCTCTTGGATTGTTCGAGACAAGCACCGAATGTCACACCTTGCTGCCTGGCTGACTCCTGGCTGATAGTATATGTGGGTTTTGTTTGTTTCGTCTGTTGTTTTTTTCAAAAACATTGCAATACGCTATGGGGATTGAGGTTTGCAACAAGCTGTAGTTCAGCAGCTGCTTTCTAGAAGAGGAGATCCCTGACATCATAGACTAGGCTCGTGCAGGTAGCCTAGGAGTCTGCTGGAGAGGGAGGGAAATAGGAAGCTGAAATGTATGGTTGGTATGGGAGATCCACATTTAAAGACAGCCCAAAACTCAGCAGCAACATTTTAGAGATTTTAGCAGTTTGTCCTCTGTTCAGAGCTGGGGTGACACTGACTGACTGAGCAACCAGGCCCTGTAAATGCTTTTCTTCAGCAGAAAAGCAGCCCATGTCTACCTGATACCCTAGTGCATTGAAGTATAACTGCCCTTTGTCACCCTGAGAAAGTATCACCATAATTACCAACCTGAGCTTGTTCCTTTCACCCAGCATTTAAGTCAGACAAAAAAACACTGACAAAATTTCACCAATGAAATCAAAACACAAAACTCATGAAACTCACAAGAACATCACTCTTGCCCAGCGTGGGCTAGAAACTCCCACTGCAGCTGCGGTGGTTTCTGGTGATTTCTGAGGACGAGGCCTGACTGAGGCTCTGCTGATAGCTGGCAGCCACTGTCCCCTTCCCATGTGGCTTCTCCAGGCCCATGAAGTGGCATTGTGGGAAGACAGGCAGTGGGCTGCAAAGCATGCCTCTCTCAGCCACAGCGGGACAGCAAAGACCAAAATGTCTCAATAGGTAAGAAGAAGGGAAATGTACTAACAAAACTAAATCTCTAAAGCCTTCTTCCACTTGAAAAGAAGAAAAGAAATTTTCACAGT